ATCGTACAGGTGCTGTCGGCCGTCGACTCGCTTGAGGCCGACGATGGAAGATCGTGAAGTCTGTCAATCGATTGAAACGCCAGGCGTGCCACTGGAAGCAATACAAAGAAAAACGCTGTAGCTGCCGCAGGGTTTGGCGAGAATTGCCACGTTGCACGCCATGATGTCTACGCAGAGCAGTTCCGTGAAAGTGGGAAGCCCGTGGTGAAAGCCATGAAGAAGTTGGTGGCTTAAACCTTGACGAGCCCCATTGTTTTCTCTGGCATCGCTTTAATCGACGAGTAGGACGCAATGACATGTAATCTTTTGCAAATACAGAGTAACTTTTTTGCGAATTGAATAGGGTACGTTTAAATGGTGGGTTTTGAAACGGGGCAAGACCCTAAGTGGTCGAAGGTCAACGGCAAAACGTCGGTTTCCCGATCGCGGTAGAGATTGAGAAATAGGCTAGACATTTCGAAAGCTCATTGGTAGTGCTTAACACGCCACTCCTCACCCACGAGGGAGAACATGAACATTTCCCCCCACTCTGCGGCGATTGTTGGAAATAGTGCCCCGGGTTTGGTTCCTAAATATCCGATATATGTCAATCCTTAAATCCGTATAAAAGACATGGCGTTGGTTTTACGACAACAAAGGATTGTTTGAATGTTTGACCAACCAATCAAATCAAATTGTCCCTTTTTAACTGTGATTGGCCCAGGATTTTAGAAAAGAGCATTGGTGCACACTTATCGGTTGATGTTTGAGTGGCACTGGGGTCTAGAGTCCGGACACCTTCAAGTGGTGGTGGTTGAACCATCCAAATTATGTACACCTGAGCAAACTAGCGTCCAAGTGACTGGGTGCTGTTGTAACGAGAGCTCTATCTAAACGTGTATTCGCATCCAGCGAAAAAATATCGTAACAATTAAGCGGGAATCTTTGGCTCCAGAGTTTGTGCGCGATCTTGTTTTCATAGCAACGCGGTCTGCAAGCGAAAGGAAGCTAACGAACAGCTCGTTCGTTGATCTAACGTAGCGCTAAATAACTACTCAAGACCGAGTACTGCGATATAAAACCGATCTACAAACATGTGTGAAATCGGTTGTATCAATTGATTCAGCCCATCCCTCTCAGAATGCTAAGATGATACTTT